TCAAAAGTCAGCAGCTACAGTTTTTGTGTGTGTGTGTGTGTGTATATATATATATATATATATATATACTATATATATATATATATATATATATATGAATACATTGTGCAGTTAGTTCCAATATCAAACATTTAGTGCAAGTATGGTGATATTAAATTAAAAAATCAGTCCAATGTAAAGTGTCCACAAAAATTGCATATAAAACGTCCACAATAAATTAACACTTTCTTCAAATTCCTATATTAACTATATACTCACTCCACCAAAAACCAAAATATGTGGTGGGACTACAAAACACCTCCTCCACTTTCACTTTTGCTCCCAAGTGTTCCCGCCAAGTGATCCATTCACCAAATTGAGTGACCCCTTAAGTTAAAGTGAAACTAAACCCTCCAATCCTTTTCAGGCAAGGAGACTTCCATCTTAAGCAGGCCATAGATGAGTGGAAAATGGAATAAAAATTCTTGTCGATCGTCGAATTGTTCACGTTTTGCATCATTAGTGTGCCAGCTGCGACATGTGATTTTTGTGCCAAAACTGAAAGTGCCTGATCCAACATGCTGGATTTTTCTCTCAGAAACAAAACAAATGATGGCACAATTGTAAGAGCTATGTTTGTTTTTCAATCAACAAAATGTTTGGTTTTCAACTCATCTATGACCTGCTTTATCCTCTGTTTGATCTGCAACTGCCATGATGCTGCACATATGATCACTTATGACACCAGCCATTTGATAGTTTAACAATTTGGTTGAGAACACAAGCAAATGTAACAGTTAGCATTCCTGGCGAGCTGGGAGTTTGACTGTTTTTTTTACACCATTAAATCGATAGGTTTAGTTCTACTTTAATAAGTGAGTCAAAATAGCCTTTTTCAGTGCTGTATTTCTAAATGTTTCACTGCACTCCTTCACTCCTTTCTTTTCTTAACATGTTACATATTACACCCATATTCAGGGTAGAACATGTAACATGTTATGAAAACTGGCCCCCGCACCCTCCTAATCCCCTGTTTTGACAGTTAGCGGGGGATCTTCTCCCCCTGCTAGTTGTCAACATTTTTGAAAAACGTGACTGTGCAGGGCCCCGCCAACCTGGCCGCATGACTCATTCATGGCATTCTGTGAATGGGAAAACTTCGTTTTGACAGCCTTTGCGGCTTTCGTCTTATAGGTCTCAATGAACTACCACAGTGCTGTTGAGTGCTGTGGTAGTTCATTGATTCTTCCTATCAGAATGTATCTTCTTGCCCATACAAAGTAGGAGCAGACAGATACAATGACAGGTCTGCAGGAGTCTTGCATGGTACACACAATCTGCTGATTGCTGGTGCAATGCTTTACAGGCTCCCAAAACCAAAAATAGTAAATGCACATTTTTTACCTGCAAAAAAATGTACATTTATTATTTTTGTTAAAAGGTGATCTTATTCTTTAATGCTACTTTTTTTAACGGGACTCACTGATACTTTCCCTTCCAGCATCCCCCCCGCCAGAATTTGTTGTCACAAACTAAAGCTAAGCATACATAACCTGACTTTCTCTTGTTCAGCAGGTGGGCAGATTGTGAGAAAATGATTTAATTCTCTCATCCACACTAAACTGCATGGATGGTGGCATTTTCACTGACAGCTATTGTGTTCAGCAGATATGGAAACCTTAGCTGCCTTAATACTGTGGTACTGCCTAATAGTGACTGCATCTGATAGGATAGGGTCACTGCTTGACCAATAATTTTCCATCTGGCTTAGTCAATTTTTAAATTGACTTTTGTTGAGCCATCTGTAGCTAGTAAAACCACCCATGGCTCAAATTTTGGCTGAAGTTCGAGCCCTATGTGGGGGCTGGCCATAGGCTGGTCATAGATGCCTCTTTTTTTTTTTGGACCAGCCAGAGGGCTGATTACAAAAAATGTAATTCCCCCATCAACACAGTCAATGTGAATGGAGGAATCCTTCCCATTGTACTCCTACACTTTCAGAATACACTGATCACTTTGCAAAGAATACCTTTTCACATACAAGAACAATAAATGCAAAATGAACAGTCTATTTGCCTTTAGTAAATCAACCGCGATGTATGTTACTGGCCAGATCACCAGTCAAATATAAAGGAAAAAAAGCCCCCAAAAAAGAAAACAATTACACATTTAAGGATTGGTAAGCTGCAATATATTAGTTTGTTAATGAAATTTAAGACCACTTTAATATAGATGTGTATATGCCGTGGTGAACAACGTTCAGGCTTTAGACACTTGCAGTGGGGATCTGAAGCCAAAGCAGACAGTAGTGGGGGCATCGATTTTTAAAGGGACTGGTAATAACTGTGTAACATATCTCTAAGGCCTCGTTCATATTGGATTTGAATCATGCCCAGTGCAGGGCCGTATTTTACTGTCATGGGGATGTACAGGTGCTGTATGCATCCCTGTGCCAGCAGTCTATTGGTAGGCAATGGCTGCATGGACACAGCTTCTGCTCCCAATGTGACAGCCATGCGGGTGCATGGAATGCACCTAGGGTGAGTTTGGGACATGCATTTCACATGCACCTGCACCCAAACGGATGTCATACTGGGAGTAGTAGCTGTGTCCGAATAGACATGAATAGGATGGCCCAAACAGGGATGCATGGAACATCTGTACATCCCCATGTGAGTAAACACGGCTCTGAACGGGGCACACATCAAATTGTCTAACAGTCTCCTGAAGCATACCTCTAGTCCTTACATGCAGCAGCAGCTTCATGTCATGACTCAGGGAGGGCTTCCTGATGAGCCTTGGCACCATTGCTTATAGTCTTTACCAAAAGCCTATGGGGAAAATTTCCGAAAACTGGAGCACTCAGAATCTGGTGTAGCTGTGCATGGTAGGAAATCAGCTTCTAACTTCAGCTTGTTCAATTAAGCTTTGACAATTAAATCTGGAAGCTGATTGCTTTCTATGCAGAGCTGCACCAGATTTTGCACTCTCCAGATTTAGCAAATCTCCCCCTATGTGACAGGGTGACAACTCAGAAGAGCAGTTGGGGACAGGGGTAGACTTTTGTCACCCTCAAACAGAAAGTACCTTTAAGGCAGATGAATGAGATAATATTCTGCTGAAAGCTGCACATTTAATAAGATTGAAAATTACATTTGTAATTTAACTAACATGCCAAACATATATGACACATACAGTACATGATATTTAGTTTGGTTTTATACACACTTTACCTTGTACATTTCCTTCTAGCTGCAATGGCAAAGAGTTGTACTGCATGGTACTTTCAGTGTGAATATACATTGTCTTATACAATTCCCTGTACACAGTTCTATGTACAAAACAAAATGACCTACACAAATAAATAAAAGTTAATTTTGACAAATGTGCAGAGTAAAAAACAATTTATATTCTGCTCCAAAGCCTGAGAAAAATGTATCACGGCCAACATCCCATGTCTTCAATATTCTTTGTGACCCAATGTGATAAAGCATTTGCTGCGCTTCACTGTTGAAAACTTAATATCCACAAACTGTACAGACGGTATGACTGTTCAATAAAAAAAGTGACATTCTGAAATATCTCCTAGCCAAGGGCGCAGTTAGTGTGACATCTGTACACTTGTCATTACAACGCCGCTCACATTACGCCCATAAATATGCCATCGGGATACAATGACTGATATAATTTTTATCAGATTGAGAGATTGCAGTTACGTATCGGCAGATAAAACCTCAGAGAACATTTTCTGTGATAAAATGGATTCCGTTATTGTGCTAGAGGTGACAGGTCATTATTTAAAATGTGCAGGAACGAGGGGGCGTGGAATACACACACATATATATATATATATATATATATATATATGTGTGTGTACTCTGCATGTGTTTGTATGTATGTGTGTGTGTATGTATATATATATATATATATATATATATATATATAATTTGTTTATATGTTTTTTTCCTTTTGCAGGTGTTTCATCCTTTGTAGGAAAGATACATCGAGACAAATGATTCTGCTTGGCATTTTCTACACAGTGGAGATTGCTTATCGATCCAGATCAGAATATTCAGCTCGGCCTTGAGGGAAAAAACGCAGAGTATTTTCTGAGGGAGTTAATAACCTGGCAGTTGAACTGTCTTGTCCAATTCACTGAATCTAGGCCTCTAATCAGGACGGAGTTTCTTATTTTGAGAAATCTCGGCCTAGGCGTTTGCAAAAGCTTCCCTTCCACTCTATTGGCCCGGTGACAGTGATTGAAATGACACACAATAGATAGAGGCTAATCAAATTGTTTATTATCAACCTAAATCAATATGTATAGATTGTTAGGACATCACTGTCATGCCCAAGATACTAATACTTCTGCTGCTTCAGATGTAATTCAAAGGAATATTTCTTGGTCTGGAATTATACGTGGTTTTAAGAGACTAAAAGCAATTACATCTGGTGAAGAGACAGGGAATACGAATACACACAGGATGGGGAGATGAAAGTTCATTCTTTAACAAGTTTAGTTGATTACAGAGCTGCTGGCAATACCATTTTTTGTCAGTAGGCCAAAGCCATATTACTGGCAGTCAGTTTACCCTTTTTCAGATCAAGCCAATACTTAGGAATAAAACAAGAAAAAAAAGCTTTATTTCCCCCTCCCCCAAAATAAGGCTGTATATAGCATGCTCAGTTCTTGTCTGAGTAGGTTGAGTTTGAACCCCTGCCCAGGCTCCATTAACTGACTGCAGCAGTGAGATGTCCCCCCAAACCTGGCACCACGATGATGGGCTGACAGGTTGACTTTTTAGCTAAGCTACCTACTGACATATCTCTGACATGTAAGAAGAGCTTATATGCTGCTAGAGAAGGAATTTGGTTGAAAACCCTTAGCTTGTTGCAGCCATCATCAATGAGAGGGAGAATTCCTAGCTTGTTTACTGACCAATTTTATTTGTCTAAACAGTATATGAAATGATTTTGTGATACCCTGTTCTTCTGCAGAAATGTAACAGTGGCCTTAGATGTGTGTTTTGGATCATTGTCATGTAGGAAACGCACAACGACCAAGGGCACAGATTGATGGTAGCATCTTCACTTTCAATATAGAGCAGTACATCTGTGAATTCATGATACCCAGGGACAGACTCACAACTCCTTGGCCAAACTCAAAAAAGCCTATGAAAAAGGTACCAGGGGCATCTCATGGGGCCCCCTACAGACCCCAGGCCCTCGGGCAGTGCCCGAGTTTCCAAATGGTCAGTCCGCCCCTAATGATACCATCAATGAAATGCAGCTCCCTGACACCAGCAGCATTCATGCAGCTCCGCAGAAGGACACTGCCACCACCATGTTTCACTGTAGGCACCATGCATTTTTCTTTGTACTCCTCACCTTTGCAACGCCATACAGTTTTTAAGCCATCCATTCCAAAAACATTTATCTTGGTGTCATCACTCCAGAGTACAGAGTCCCAGTAGTTTTCTTCTTTTTCAGCATGGGCCCTGGCAAATTCTATGCTGGCTTTTTTGTGCATGGGCTTTAGGAGTGGCTTCCTTCGTGGATGACACTCATGCATGCCTTTCCTCTGCAATGTATGCTGTATTGTGTCATGGGAAACAATCATCCCAGTTTAGCTTTCTTCTTCTTTAGCTAACTGCAGTGAACTTGCTTGGTGATTTTTTTCAACCCTTCTCATCAGAGGATGCTCCTGTCAAGTTGTTAACTTCCATGGACAGCCTGACCATCTCTGTGAGATGGTTGCAGTTCCATCTTTGTCACATGTATCACTTTGCTACAGCATTCTGACTGATAAGTAAATCTTTGCTGATCTTCTTGTAGCCTTCACCTTTCTTTTGTAATGAAATGTTTTTTCTTTCTCAGGCCTTGTGACATTTCTTTTCCATGTGGTGCCATTGCTGACAGCATGAAATGGGAAGGGGCTTTCTTTGTTAAGTAACGCCCTTTTATAATCAACAGTCTGCTGGACATCTGCTTAATGAATAGTTAGACTCACCTGTAGTTGAATTCTTGTTAATTAGGATTTTGTTGTCTAAACTTTTGCTTTGATCCTAAGACTTTTATTGGGGTGTATTAATTTTTGCAACATGGTCTTGAATGAATTTGTTAGGACAAATACTTTTTTGTGTGTGCAAGTTGACAAATCTTGTTTGCAATCAATGGCCCGCATCCTTGGGAGTATTTTGAAGTAAAGTGTCCCACGGAAAATGACAAATCTGTTGGGGTGTACTCATTTATGCTGAGCACTGTGTGTGTGTGTGTGTATATACAGTTGTGTTCAAAATAATAGCAGTGTGTTGAAAAAAGTGAATAAAGCTCAAAATCCTTCTAATAGCTTTTATTTCCATACACACAAATACATTGGGAACACTACACATTCTATTCCAAATCAAAACATGAAGAAAAATGTAAAAAAGCATTGTTTCTGAGAACTGCTGTACATCTGTGTTGCATGGAGTCAACCCACCTCTGGCACATGTGAACAGGTATTCCAGCCCAGGAGGATTGGACTACATTCCACAGTTCTTCTCTATTTCTTGGTTTTGCCTCAGAAATTGCATTTTTGATGTCACCCCATAAGTTTAAGATCCGGGGATTGGGCTGGCCATTCCATAATGTCAATCTTGTTGGTCTGGAACCAAGATGTTGCACGTTTACTGGTGTGTTTGAGGTCGTTGTCTTATTGGAACACCCATTTCAATGGCATTTCCTCTTCAGCATAAGGCAGCATGACCTCTTCAAGTATTCTGATGTATTCAAACTGATCCATGATCCCTGGTATGCGATAAATAGGCCCAACACCGTAGTATGAGAAATATCCCCATCTCATTATGCTTGCGCAACGATGCTTCACTGTCTTCACAGTGTACTGTGGCTTGAATTCAGTGTTTGGGGGTCATCTGACAAACTGTCTCTGGCCACTAGACCCAAAAAGAACAATCTTACTTTAATCAGTCCACAAAATATTGCGCCATTTCTCTTTAGGCCAGTCAATGTGCTCTTTGGCAAATTGTAACCTCTTCAGCACGTCTTTTTTTCAATAGTGGGACTTTGCGGGGGGCTTCTTGCAGATAGCTTGGCTTCACGTAGGCGTCTTCTAATTGTAACAGTACTCACAGGTAACTTAGACCTTCTTTGATCTTCCCGGAGCTGATCGTTGGCTGAGTCCTTGCCATTTTGGCTATTCTATCCGTTCGATTGGTAGTTTTTCGCTTTCTTCCACGTCTTTCAGGTTTTGGTTGCCATTTTAAAGCATTTGCGATCATTTTAGCTGAGCAGCCTATCATTTTCTGCACTTCTTTATATGTTTTCCCCTCTCCAATCAACTTTTTAATCAAGGTACGCTGTTCTTCTGAACAATGTCTGCAATTACCCATTTTCCTCAGAATTTCAGAGAGAAATGCACTGTAACCAGCATGTACAACATTTGCTGTCTTCCTTCCTTAAATAAGGGCAATAATTGCCACCTGTTTTTCAAAGAATGAATGACCTCACTAATAGAACTCCACACTGCTATTATTTTGAACATGCCCCTTTCAATTAGTGATTCAATTACACAGAATCAGCAGCATGCATGTCATGACTGCTGGGTCTGTTGGATTTCTATTACTCTACTACACCTGCTAGTAAATTATTTGCCATGTAGAAATATCATTTCTACCAAAAACAGTGATTGATCAGGTTAGTGATGTCTGAATGCTATTATTTTGAACACAACTGTATGTATGTGTATATATATATATATATATATATATATATATTTTTTTTTAATATTAATATATTCTGAGGAAAGTCTCTTTCTGCATGTTTGTATTTCAAATACTATAGATATATAGATAAAAAGTAAATCACAAAACCTAGAATGTTTTACACAACACATATATTTGTCACTCTATCATATTATCCATATATGCAGTTAATAGCATATTTATCATGTACCTGGTGATGGAGGCCAATGGAGAGAAGGCTTCCCTTGCGGCTAAGTTCCAGACTCCCCTGAGAGTGTGACAGCGGGAGTCAGGCCCAAAGTGGCACAGGTCGCCTGTAGGAGTGCTGGTTGGTGGTCCACCCAGAAGCACAGCTGATGTACAAAGATAGGTCTGCAGGCAGGTGGCGCCTGTGCGTGGTATGCAAGCCCTTCCGGGATTTAGAGATTTACTGGATAGCCAGTTCACGCCAAGGTCAGGTACCAGGTGGGAATCAGAGCAGACGTAGTCAGATGTGATAGCAGAGGTCATACACAGAGGACGAGAGAGAGAGAAAGTATTTATAAGCCAAGCCGAGGTCAGATCAGGGGTTAAACAGAGTAGACAGGTCCAAGAGCAAGCAGAGTTGGTATCAGGAAATCACAAGTCACAGGAAACAGAAACAAGGCACGGGAGCTAGAGATCATCCAGCAACTTGAGGAAGTGATGAGCCTCCTTTTAAAGGCCATCTGGCACCAAACTAAGGCTGATGTGTGCTTCTGAGGCCATGCAGGGTGCTAGCAGAAATGCCAGATCTTCCAGAACTTCTGCCGTGAACAGGACCCTGACAATATTAAAGGCTAATGGCAAAACTTTTAAATTTGGACAGAGTCGTGAGAGGGTTAGAACCACTGTCACGTTTCTATTGCTGTCTGGGTCCCCATTAGAGAGATTAACTCTTTCTAACTGTCCAGCGTGAGGAAACTATATTTACTTTGTGATCTGCTGTGTCATTGGATAGCACGGTTGGCAAGTGGTTAAATAGATTTAGGGTTTTTTTTTTTAACTCCCTCCCGCCCAGCCTATTGTACAATTACGACCGAGCGAAAACCCTATTATCTTGGGAGGACGTCATATGATGGGCTGTGCTCCACCACGATCTGTCACTATATGAGTCTACTGGAGACAGCCTATGACAGATCACTACGCTGCCAGTGTCATGTGATCTGCTGTGACCAGTCACAGCAAATCACATGACAGTTGTGCTGTGAGTTGTGATTGGTCACAGCGATCACATGTACAGACTGGGCCGATCACAGCCCATCTGTAGCATGTGATCACCTATGGCCAATCACAGCTGATCACAACAAAAATGACTGAATTAATTAGTTTCATTCCATAAAAATGCTTGTTTATACCAATGAAATTAATCGGTAAAAGCAATCATAATGTGTTTAAAAATGAAAAAAAATCCTGATCACTTGCCCAGAGTCGTACAATGTTACTAGGGTAAAATTGCATTGCTCTGGTCACAGGAGTATAAAAAAAATCATAAAAAAGTTTTAAAAATGTAATAAAAAATTAAATTATCATTTTTTTTTTACATAGTGTTATCAATCAGTGTCTCGGATTATCACTGCACCAGTTATATGATGATGCTGTACCTCATTGGTGACAGTATGTTAAAAAAAAAAAAATTGTGAAAAGTTAATTTTCCCAAAAATTGTGACAAAATCTCATCATGCCTCTTACTAAACACCTCAGACTGTCTACTTTCTGAAAAGTGGTCATTTTGGGGGTATTTGTACTGTTCTGCCATTTTTGGGCCTCAAGAAATGAGATCAGTCAGCACATCAGGATTTATCAATTTTTAGATATACCATAGTTTGTGGACTCTACAACTTTCCTACTAACTAAATAATAAACACTGATTTGGGTTATTTTCACCAAAGACATGTAGCGGAATACATTTTAGCCTAAAGAAAGATTATTTATTTTGCAAAATGTTATAACAGAAATGAAGAAAAATGCACTTTTTTCAAAAATGTCCTTCTTTTTCATTTCTAGCGAAAAAAAATTAAAAACCCAGTGGTGATTAAATACCACCAAATGAAATCTCTATTTGTGTGAAAAAATATCAAAATTTCATATGGGTACAGTGTTGTATGACCGCACAATTGTTATTTAAAGTGCAGCAGTGCTGAAAGGGGATAATTGGCCTGGGCAGGAAGGGGGTAATAGTGCCCAGTAGGCAAGTGGTTAAAGGACTCATAAAAAGAAATAAATAGGTGGTCATTGCTTTTTTTTTATTGGGTTTCAGAGAAATAAGAAAAATTACAGATAAACAAAGACAGAATGTTCAACATTAAATAGTCGGTCAAAACCCTGCGAGACAGGGTAAAGGCATATAGACTATAGACCCTAGTTAAGACATATAGTCATTGTTTTTAATTTCTTCTGGGTATGATTGTT